GCACCTGTCCTTTTGTCCAATAGAAAAGTAATGCCCATATCCACGCTAGAGACGACGTCGTTATTTTCCTCCTCCGGCACACGAACTGATCCAGCTGATTGTTGTGCAAGTGCGTAGGAAGAGAAAATGCATGTTTGTTTGATTGTTTTTTTTCTTTCTATCCATCCGGTGGGCAGATAACTGAAGAACCTTTGTAACACATTACACCCTATTTGGGCTCAAGGTGGGATTTCATCAGGGATCAGCTCTGAGCTCCTTCTTGTTTGCAGTAGTGATGGACAGATTGACAGATGAGGTCAGGCAGGAGTCTTCGTGAACTAAGATGTTTGTAGACAACATTCTGATCTTTAGTGAGAGAAGGGAGCAGGTGGAAGAGAACCTGGAGAGATCGAGGTATGCTCTGGAGAGAAGAGGAATGAAAGTCATTAGAAGCAAGACAGTCTAGATGTGTGGGAATGAGATGGAGACAGGTGTAACAGTGAACCTGCAGAGATCAGAGGTATCGTGAATGTAGTTTAAATATCTGGGGTCAGTCATCCAAGCAAGCGCACAAGAGAGATAAAGAAGAGAGTGCAGGCTTGGTGGAGTGGGTGGAGACACATATTGGGGGTTATTAACAGCAAGAGTAAAAGGAGAGATTTACAAGTTGGTTGTGAGACCTGCTGTGATGTATGATTTAGAGAAGGTAGCACTGAGGCAAGAGGGTGAACTGGAGGTGGCAGAGTTAAAGATGTTTCATGAAAGATTTTCACTGGGAGTGACCGGACTGGACAGGAAAAGAAACGAGAGCACGAGAGGGACAGCTAAGGTTGAGCGTTTTTTGGAGACACAGTTGGAGAGGCAAGACTCAGATGGTTTGGACATGTGCGGATAGTGGACAAAAGATACTGAACATGGAACAACAAAGCAGGAGGAAAAGAGGAAGACCACAGCGAAGATTGTGGACGTAGTGAAGAAGAACGCGAGGACAGGGTGAGATGGAGGCAGATGATCTGCTATGGCGAGCCCCGAGAGAAGCAGCTGAAAGAAGAAGATTCAAATTTTAACTATTTATTCAGAAAGTTATGGAAACACTTTAAAAAAATAATTTAACTGTCCAGTGCTCTTAGCTAAAAAATCAACAAGTGCAAGTGTTAAGTTCGCTTATTTTGTTTGTAAGACCTGTCTAATGTTATGTAGCTGGCTTTCTGCAGTAGAAAGCCTTAATGCAGTCACCTGTGGTTGCAAATCACTGACCTAGGTTAGCCAAACACAAAGCTCCATTATTAATATTTGTTTTCTCCCTCTTCCAGGTGTGATACCAGCCAAAGGTGAGGCAAAGATAACTGTGACCTTTTGTCCACTCCAGTTTGAGACTTCTCAAATCACCTTTCAGCTGGTCATTTCACAGTTCAACACCAAGCCTTACCTGTGTACCATCACTGGGAGCAGTGCACCGCACATAGCTCTCAGGTAAAATTTCACAACTGACTAGAAATACAGTGTTGTGTTAGAATGTTTTTACAGATGAGCAATTTGACTAATCAAAATGTCAGTTTTACTTAGCTGTTGGTGTTTTGTTCCTTTCACAGTCATGTTTTACTCTATTACTCTCAGTTGCTGTCTTACTGTCCTATCATGTGCTTTTGCTCATAACAGCTGTGAAATCCTCAGCCTAAGTACAACCTCAAATTCAAAAACACCGGGATCTCATTCATGCTATCAATGTACACTACATAACAAATTTAAGTCTTTCCACCAGTGCTTTATTGTTTTCACGAGCATCCGGCATCCTGAATGATAGCTTGGTGAAGTTTGCTGTTTTATCGTAAAAAAACAGTTCTCAGCTTGTGGGAGTAAGTTTACGGCTGAACCACATGGGAGTGAAAACATCCCCCAAAATATCTGGGGACAATAACTAACTGGGTTCAGAGAAAATGGGCACATGTGCAGATCAGAGGTTTTTCAGCTGATATTAATTTGGTTCCCATGAGAAAGAGGGTGCTATCCATCACACAGCAGTAGCTCCTGACTCCATCCCCTGCGCTGTCTGGTGTTATCTTGGCCAAAAGTTAATAATTCATGAAAATAGCTTGGTAGCTGCTGCAGTGATATAAGGATGGATACAGCTCCCAATGGATGTTTAGCATATAAAACACTCTCCCTCTGTTTGTTGTTCCTCACGGTGGAACCAAATAAAAGATGATAGATATGCAATGGAAAGATTAAGGAATATATGCTAGAGCCAATGTTTATCCAGCTCGAACCAATGTCTGACATGTGCTTGTTACTGTGTCCTCTGCCTGACTTCTCTGACATAGAGGCTCCTCATAATACAAACAGTGACTTGAGTGATTTTGCTTCTGTGTTGCAGAACGTCATCAGTGTAATGCAGTCTGATATGATGTTTGGTAATAAATCTAGTGCTTCTTTGTGACCGAATGTTCAACTCTTGTTAACTCCTTTTTAGCCAAAGGTTGCAGAGTCAACTCAACTGTGATTTAAAACTGTAGTTGTCTAGTTCTCTGTCTTGGACTGATTGCTAATTTAATAGCCATTTTGAATTAACTGTTTTTAATTGTAATTATTAGGCCCCGACTCCCAGCCACCCTGACACCCGTGTATTCTCTCTCTGCTCATATATCATTTTATAAATACTCAGAGTTTAGAGCCATTCCTACTCTGCTGAAATAACTATTTCTGGAACATTTGTAAAGGGATACCTTGACAGCTAGCTTCTTCTGATTGAAACCCATCTGTTTAGAAATGATCCAAACAACAACTTCAATGTTTCATCCACTACTTTGCGCTAGGTTTGCAAAGTTTGCTTTTCTATCCACTAATTAGCCATTTTAGCAGTTTATAGATTGCTTTTAGCTAACCATTTATCCACTGTTTTAAACAGTTTCAGTTTTAGCCAATTCGTTACTATTTCAACACTTTTCCATGTTTTTTGTTTTGTTAATTATTTCAAAAAATGATATGAAATTTTTTCACTATTTCAGCTAATTATTTCAACAATAACACCATTACTGTGTTAAACACAGCTCATTTTCTGCTTAATTTGAAATCGTTCTCTTTTACTAGGGGTGACCTTTTAGTGTGAAATTATTACAAAAATGTAAGTTGTGCTTACTTTAGCAGTGAGCTAATTAGCAAGTATTGAATCAGTTTTGGTATACTAATATATATAATTTTTTTCACTTTTTTCCCCTTCCATCTTTCTGTTAGTGAACTGGAAAAAAAGTTCAGTTATGAAAATGCAGTGACTGTGAAACACAAAGGAGCCTCACCTCCTACCCTAGTGCTTCCTCGAAGTAAATCCAAATACAGGGCAAATAAGGAGGCTGACAAGTCAAAGGTATGGTCAACCGATGGTCTGACTGATTAACTCACTAAACTTTCATAATCCCGTGTAGTTATATTTCGACAGGTTAATTTCCCTGACTCAAAAGCAATGAAATATTTTAATAGTTTTTTTTTTTTTTTTTTTTTTTTTACATAAAAATGATCTTTTCTGTAAAACTGTATCTGCAGTACCTCTGTTTTGGGAACTCTGCTGGGAAAACAGTAGCAAGTAGTAGCAAGACCCTAGCATAGACACACCAGGCATTAATAAGAGCAAATATGATAAGACAGACAGAGCTTGAATAGGAAACACATGGGTTGGAGGTGGGTTGCAAAGTGGTTTGCAGAGTTAGGATGTTTAGAAGGGCATCAGATGGGATTAAGACAAAAGACACAGCTGATTTTCTGGGATGGCATCTTGACTTTATGACTTTTCTTAACTAATGCTACTCTTTTTCCTGTCCTATAGGCAATCAGGGATCCAACTAATGTGAAGTTTAAATTGCCAGTAGATGTCTGTACTCCTGCAGGGGTGGCAAAGATGCTGATCAAAGACTCTAATAAACTCTGCTCTAAAGACTTGAAGCAAGGTAGATGCAACCCAGTGTTTCTACTCTTGACGCTGATATGCGTGTCAACATTGTTGCCTTATCAAATCAATCACCTCTGTTCAGTTTTTGTTGAATTACATTCATGCATGTCTCTTTTCTGTTGGTGCAACCTTCACTTCAGCCATGTCCTCTGGCAGCATGATAGCACGGCAAAATAAGCAGATAAAAGAAGCCCTGTTCATGAAAAAGGTTCAACAAGACACGAAGGAGGAGCAAACAAATCACCTCAAATGGTAGGTTTGATTAAATATAAAACTCAACCAAAGTTACTGAATGTTTAATAGATGTGTTTACTTTATGCACCCCCTTTGACTCAGGCAAGTCCATCTGGGTATGGACCCCATGTCAGAGCATGCAACAAGACAGATACTGGAGGAGAGAGAAATTGCTCTGCATGAATATATGGTAAGTTATTTCAGCTCGTGTGGATGTAAAGAAACACTGTGCTCATTGATACTCATTGAAACCAGAGGGCTTGGCTAATACACAGAGAATCCCTGAGAGAATCAGAGTTGTTTGAGTTCTCTTCCTGTGTTTTCTGAGAGGTGTTGGAGATGGTGACAGTTTGCTGTGTCTGCATTGTAGAGGGAAGATTAAAAAAAAACTTTATAAAGAATTCAGAAAGTGTATTTAATCATTCCTTATCTGACCATCTTTGATTTCTTAACTTTATATACACTGTGTAAACTGGAAGGTTCTTTCTATCTACAGCCCTTACTGATAAAAGTTTGACCTTCCATTAAATGGAGTTTTAATGCATGAAAAATATTTCTTGCTCAAATAACTGATGGGAGCCCAACTCACAGGATCATAGAAGCTACCGAGTCTTTGCCCCATGGGCTTGATGATGGCGGTACATAATTCATGGGAGGCTGTAAGCGGTGAACTACATAGTGCTGCGTATAGATTTTCAGATATCCCCATAATAAAGCCAAGTTCTTTCCATCACACCAACACACCAGCATGTACATGTAATTCCTACCATACATAGTGAATACAATAACATATTGAAAGAAAAAAAATATGCAGGACACAGGAGGACACAGACCTTGGGAGGATGGAAATGAGTCCTAGTGGGACAGTACTATCTTGCAGGGTAATTTTGATTCACCAAGTCCTCTCTTCTTGGTCAAGGTATTGGTTTTAGTAGAACACATTTTTTCTGTTTTCATGTAAGACCTTGGTGACATACTCAAATGTGCTGATATCAGCACATTTGAGTATGTCAGTGTCAGTATGTCAGTGCGTTCCACATTCATACCGTTAACGTTACCTTATTCAGATGTAGAATTATTGGATCCACAGTGGGTTTTTGACCCTTTACAAAAACCCTCTTGGCTGTATAATTGAATTTTATTAAGTCGCCATGGAAATAGTGCAGAGTCAGCCAAACTAATGTCAGTTTTGAAATATGAGTCTCTCTATGTCCTCAGAAAGGTTGTTTGAATAGTTATCAGATCTCTCACAGACACTTAACAGCACTTCCTCCCCCATCTCCTTTCCACCTGCACACTTTATAATGCAAATACACACACGCACACAAACACACAAAGTGTCCTGTGCCATACTCATTCTGTTTTACAGCCTTGTATCACCACACTTTGTGATTTTATGGGAACTCTGTTGTTTTTATTATACTGTCACCTGTCATCATCTAATGTGGGCCCTCTGTTGAGTCTTGACTGGAGGCCAAAGAAATCTGTTTGTCTATTTGCTTCAGAGTTATGTAGTTTTATAGCTTTGCAACATTAATTTTTGCAACGTTATTTTTTCCTCAGCCAGGCTGTGATGGTTAAGTTTACGATTCTGAGAATTAAGCCATCAACCTTTTTTTCCTCTTTAGCCAAAGAGGTTCCAAGTTTTCCTTACAGAGGATATAGATGTTGGGATGTTTGATTTTCAGTGGCCCTGCAACAGCTATCACTGCCACAGCTCTAAAGGGTTTTTCCAAAAATAGATAAAATATATTTTTATTCCTTTTTATTCCAGTCAAATTGCAAATCATTTAAAGCCTTATTCACAGAAAGTATTCACAGCTGTTCACTGAGCATCTCAGAGAGGCCGGATCTTTCACCACTGTAACAGAGAGTGGGTGTGATCAAATAGTGCAACAATTAGGAATAATGTCTCATTGCAAAGTTGTACTGAGATTGCATAGATTTTTTTTTTTTTTAATTTTGTCATCTACGCTACATAATATCATTAACCAATATTAAATGGCTTTAATCTACATGCCTTGAGGCAGCATTATAAATAGACATGATTATGAAGAGGAGCACCTTCACTGACAGTGAACACAGTTCACAAATACAAACTCAAACTCTGCCAACTTCACTGGACTTCCCACCTCGTTTAGGATGGACACAGTCAAATTGCAGTTCTTTTGAAATTAGTTTTTCACATGCGCCAAGTTAGCTGGCTTAAGAGGACCATGCAGCATTAACCTATGCTGCCATCCACGTCGTGTCGTAGTGAATTAAGCCCTGCTTGTTTCAGAAAAACCAAGCCAAATTTTTCACGTCCGAGTTCAAGATTGGCCCGATTGCTGTCCAGAGCTTCCACTAAACATTTGGAGTTTTATGAAATACTCCAAAGAGCACAAAGGAAGTTTCCAAAACTGGACGAGTTTTTTTTTTATTTTCCGAACCACTTAAAGTGTTGCTGTGAACACAAAAGAAAACAAAAGAATTTGTGAATGATTTGCAAATGATTGCATTATGTATTTTATTTATATTTGAAATGGCATCAAATTTTTTGGGGAGGGGGGTGGATTCATACGATCTTTTACTGTACACTAATTGACTATTTTATAGGTGAAAAGGGGAGCTGTAGAGCAAGAAGAAACCTTTGCTGCTGGACCACCTAAAATGTTTTCAAGACGAGTGCTTTGTGAAGTAGGACAGGTATGTCCTTAACTTTGTTTTTATGCTAAGATCCCCACAAGGAGCTGACCTTGATGGGAATAGGCGCTGGCATGGTTTTTCCTTATGGTAAATGGTAAATGGACTGGTTCTTTTATAGCGCTTTTCTACTCTGAGCACTCAAAGCGTTTTACACAACTAATTCATTCACCCAATCACACAAGCACTTTTTCTAAACTGTTTAGTGCTTATTGTCTAACATTCATACACATTCACACTCCGATGAACATATCGTAGAGCAACATGGGGTTAGTATCTTGCCCAAGGATATTTGGCATGCAGACTGGTGAAGCCTGGGATCGAACCAACAACCTTCCTGTTAGTAGCTGACCTGCTCTACCTTATGTGGGTTAACTTCTGGAACTTTTTCAACACGACTCAGTAAAGTCTCAGGCAGCACAATGTGCCTCCACAGCAAAATCTGAAGCTTAAGTTGCTGAATTGAAAGACTGCTGCATGATGATCTTTAATTAATACTAAGTATATTCTGTCTTGGTGAATGTGTGGATATGCTTCTACGAAGTACCAGAAGATCTTTTATTCTTTGTACAAGAGCAGTTTCACGAACAAAAGAAAAAAAAATCAGTTGCTCATAGCTCATTTCCAGTTTAATCCAATCTAATATTGACTTATTAGTATTCCACTTTCTTTTGTCATTTAAATACTCCTAGCAGAGGCCTAATAAAATTTAACTTTATGCTTTTTTTTATGTACACTAAATGTGCAGCTAACTGTCGAACACGAGCAAGTGAGATTTAACAATGAATGTGTTTCTAACCTGTTCCAGGCCCCTGAGGGAGCCCCGGCTTTCCAGTTTTACACCACTTTTCAGTGGGAGCTGAGACGAAGAGTCCTCAGACTGTTCCAGCAGGCAGCTTGCAAGGTACAGTCATCCATATACTGCAAAGTCTCTGAGGTACATGAGCAAGTACACACATCCATGAGCATTTGCTCAATGCATCGTTCACATACACATCCCTCAGGGGAGGGCTGTTACACCAGCGCCTGTCCATTTGTTTAGCTATGTGTAGCTCAAATGTATCTTCTTTACAGTATAGTCAGTTTTCCTGTGTGAGGTGTGTTACAGTAAAAGTAAAGAAATGTAGTATTGAATTCTGGCCTAGAGAACTCTCAATCAAAACAATAACAAAAGACACAAAGTGTGTCTCTATGGGGATACATACATTTGATACGCTGTACTACTCTGTGTACTATATGTTCTTGTATAATTTATGAATTTTGGAAGGTTAATGTGAGACTGGCTTGTCCACTCTATGACCCTGATGTTCTTCTTTAGCTACTGCTATGCTGACTTGGTGGTATGTTTTGGGTCGTCATGCTGGTCGTCATGATGGCTCCAAGGGCCATCGTTCAGTTTCTGGGTCAAATCCTGACTGATGGCAACCCATTCTTTCATAATCAGTGCTTGGAGTTTGTCACAATTAGAGGGTTTTTTTTGTCCACCTGCCTCGTGATCTGATTAAGGCCTGGGGAGTTTCCTGGCCCTGGACCCAAGATTTCAATGTTTTGTTCCCCAAGTCATCACTTTGACCTTATGGCATGGTGCTCCGTCATGCTGTTCTTCAACAAAATGTTCTTGGATGGTTGAAAGAAGCTGCTGTTGGAGGATGTTTTGGTGCCATTCTTTATTCATGGCTGTGTTGTTTGGCAAAATTGTGATTGAGTCCACTCTTTTGGATTAGCAGCAGCACCCCACATGAATGGTCTCAGGATGCTTTACTGTTGGCATGAAACAGGACTGATGGTAGCGCTCACCTTTTCTTTTCTGGACAATCCTTTTTCCAAATGCCCCCCAAATGACTTTATCCCGGTCCTCAGCAGTCCACTCACTGTACCTTTTGCAGAATATCAGTCTGTCCCTAATATTTTTTTGGGAAAGAAGTGGCTTCTTTGCTGCCCTTCTTGAACTCTGGTCATCTTCCAAAAGTCTTCACCTCACTGTGTTTGCAGATGCACTCAAACCTGCCTGCTGCCATTCCTGAGCAAGCTTCGATCCCACAACTGAATCATCTTTAGGAGACCGTTCTGGCCCTTTCTGGATTCTCTTGAGCACCCTGATGCCTTCTTCACAGCAATTGAACCTCTATCTTGATGATCCGATAAATGGTTGATGTAGCTGAAATCTTAGTAGCAACAACATCCTTGCCTGTGAAGCCCTTTTTATGCAGCACAATGATGGCTGCACGTGTTTTCTTGCAGGTAACCATGGTTAACAGGAAGAACAATGATTTCAAGCATCACCCTCATTTTAACGATTCCAGTCTGCTATTCTAACTCAGTCACCATGACATAATAATCTCCAGCCTTGTTCTCATCAACATTTTCACCTGTGTTAACGAGAAGATTATTGAAATGATCTCAGCAGGTCCTTTTATGGCAGCGATGAAATGCAGTGGAAATGGGTTTTTTGGGATTAAGTTCCTTTTCATGGCAGGGAAGGACTTTGCAATTCATCTGATCACTCTTCATAACATTCTGGAGTATATGAAAATTGCCATCATAAAAACTGAAGCAGGAAACTTTCTCAAAACCAATATTTGTGTCATTCTGAAAACCTTTGGCCACGACTGTATTGACATTTAATTCAATTTCTGACTTTTAATGTGTTTTTTCTGGACTTTTGTTGGTATTCTGTCACTCCCCATTAAAATGAAACTACCAAAACCGTTGATACTTACAAATTCAGCAGGGAGTCAAATAATTATCTCCTCCAATGTACCCACTGCTCCTTCTTTGTCCTCTTCCCAATGCTCCCCCTCCAGGGCTCATTATTAAATAAGAGAAAAACCAAAGGACTTAAATGTCAAAAAATAATTAGAATTGGAGTGAACCTGAAATCTCTGTCTGACATGTCTCCTGAAATCACAAGTGTGAGTGAGAAGCTTTAGCAAAGCAGTAGCACCCTGCACCACCCTCGTCTCTCCCTTCCAGGTTGTGATTCGACGTCGCATGAACCGGAGACTGGCTTCTTTGAAGAAACTGGCAGACAGTATGAAGAACCTGCCCTTGGCACAGAAAGGTTTTCATTATCCTATGATCTCCTCATTCAGAAATAATCTCATTATCCGATGGCAGTAAGGCATGCTTTATTGAATTTATTCCTTGAGGAAAAAATGAAATGATTATGAGGCTCATAACACATATGCAAGTGTCTGGAACAGAGTTTTGAATGTGAACACTGAAAATTGCAACAAGTCTGGAGAAATTAACTTTTATTTATTCTTTTTTTACATGTCACCTCCTCACGTTTGCTTTAGCTGATAAAGAAAAGACATGCGACCTAAAAGTGTCTGCAGACAAAGTCTTTCCATCTTCATCCCCCTTTTTCTCTACTGAAGATGACCCCCTGGTGAGTACCATGCACAACTGGTAGTGGAAAATAAAGACTTAACACAGATTTTGAACTGTTCTTGTCCATTGTTGTGTAAATTAATGTAATCACTACCAAAAGGTGCGTGGTAATTTATTTTGAATCAGTTTACCTTTCAACCTAACTGGGAGATGACACCCAAAAGACAAGAAACCACTGACAAGTGGGTGCTAGCTAGTGTCCTGCACTCGAAACAATTTTCATCCATTATTTCCTGTGAAAGACGTCCTTGATCAAACCGTGGAAATCAATGAGGAAGCTCACTTTCCCGTACTTTGATTAAATCTTTCATTTCCTACATGCCCCGCAGAGAGAGAGAGAGATGGGGTAGCCTCTGTGTTCACTGGAACAAATAATGCCATTTTGTCTCCTTCATATTTCTAGGCTAACATTAATTTGCCTGAACTACCTGTGGATACTCTTGATGTGACTGTGACATCGCACATTCCTTTCTTTAAGCTACAGGTAGTTATTTACATACACAGCACTTTCAGATCAACAAATTTCACCCAGCAGCGGTGTTGATAAGTGGTAATATAACCATAAACCAGTATAGACCGTGTATATAGATTAAACTGGAGCTCTTTCTAACCTTTCTAGCTTTTGAACAAATGTGTTTGGTGACCCTGTGGAGGGCTCAGACACCTAATTTTCACCTTCACCACCGTCAGCGATGCCAAATGCCACGTACAAAGTGTCAAATTACTATTAATACTGTCATGTATGAGAGCATTTGCCTGTAAAACAGTGCTTTACTTTTCAAACTGGGATATATTTTTCTGAATACTCCTAGAATTATGAATGTAAAATTTTGACCTATAATTATTTTTATTGTTGTTGTACTATTTTATAGTGAAGTGGACATGTAAAGTGCATAAAGTGCAAAAGTCTTATTTGTTTGCTAGAAAAATGGGAAATAAGTGCAACAATTTATTGAAACACGCAAACATAAATTAAAATGTAAATACATGTAATATGAATACCTGTAGTCTTCAGCAAAGTCTGAGCTTTCTAAGAATATTTCTTCAAGTGTTAACAAGCAAACCAAAAACATTGCTCTGAAAATGGTCGGGTACAGGGACTGTACTGAAAACAAGTGAAAAAGCAGCCAGTTTCCAAAGAAAAATTCAGAAAGATCTTCAAAAAGCCCAAAGAACTGTTGATTAAGACCACTTAATAAAAGGCAAGTACTCACCTAGAGTAGCTTGTACCACGCTTCAAAATAATGCACTTCCTCTGACACAGGTGACGAGTACTGTTAACACAACATGTGACAGTGTAAAAAACTACATTTTATGTTATCTGGGTCACATTCTGCTTACCTTATAAAAAATCTCATCCTTTGAGTGTTTGACTTTTGAAGCTAGAGTGGATTAACAACCACTGTAGCGTCATAAAATTAAAATAATAAAAGCATCGACCAAGGTAGTGATAGAAATATGATTTCCAGCGGAAACCATATTTTGGAGCAAATTTTACATCTATTTTGTCTCAATAACCGCTGAGATTAGAGTTCATTGACAAAATGCTTCATTAACTAAGATGGCTATAGAGAGACAGGGCCTCTAAATGGATTGTGATGGTAATAATGGGGTCATAGGGACTCCTCGTCCTTGTTGATGTTATGTTGTAACCATGCTTTCTGTTGATATTATGCAGGTCCCTCTGCACTATAAGCTTATGGGCTACCAGGCTGTGTCAGCTTGGGAGGCATTTAACTCTTATATTCCCATGACTTTGGCCAGGCCACTGCGTACTGGAGCTCCGGTAACTTAGCACCACACACATGTTTATTTATAATATATCAGCTATGTATTTATCCACTTATTTGCTTTAAAATTTCTCCTTTTTTTAGGACAAGCTGGTACCCAACAGAGCTCATTTTCCCATGACAGAGGACACCACAGCAGGAGAGCAGCTTGATGAACAAGACAAAGATGCAGAAACAAAGGATGATTCCAGTCTCTCTTTCTGCGCCCCTGAAAATCTGCTCAGACCTTTTCCAGCAAACCCACTGAGAATCTTTGTAAGGCAGTATTAATCAGGTGCAAAATAGAGGTGCTTTTCCATTTATGATGAATGTTATTATTATTATGTTTCAGAACCCAGCTCCGGGACTTCAGACCTTTAAAACACCCCCTAAATATTTGGAGAGTGATTTGGAGTTTCATCTCTGCCCTCTGCCCAGGTAAGTTATTCTCACCTCTATGATCAATTTATTTCTATGAAACGTCAAACAGCTCATTCTGCTTTCAGGTATACGGTCCCTGAGAGCACATTGTGTAGCATAAGGACCCAAACGCCACACACTCAGAAGAAGTTTCTCAAATGCAAGGTAATTTCCCCCTCATTGTGCAGTTCATGAGTTTCTTTCAGATAATTTTTGTGTCCCATATAGAACATGTCTTCGGAGATTTTTGGTAAAGCATGTTAAATAAACTTGTTCTTACATATAGGGCTTTATACACCATGTCTCATTCACAAACCACTATTTTCTATGTCTAAGTAGAAAAGTATCTTGCCCAAAGATATGTTTGCATGCAGAATGGAGCAGCTAGGGATCAAACCACCAACCTTCCAATTGGTAGATGTACTGCTTTCCCTACTGAGCCATAGCATCCCACAAAACATAGAAAGTGCTTTTCACTTGTAGTTGATCTATCAAAAATGGCTCCCGTTTTCTGTCTGAAAATTGACATGTCCAGTGTAGCTTAGTGTGATCCCACCAAATCAGCTGATGACTCAGCTCTTACCCATCCTTCTACTCATCCAAGTGGAGGATTTTACGTCGGCAACACTGTTTAAGCTGCTGTAGCCATGAGCAACAGTTGCTGTAAATCTGCAAGCCACTTTGCAACCCATCTACATCGCATTCTACTGTCACGCTGGATCTGACCTAATCAATATCATATTTGCTGTCAGTGATGCCTGATCTGCTGTGTACTGCGCCTGGCTCCTGCTCTCTCCACCTCTGGCTTTACACATATGCACACTGGGGGGCGGAGAGGTCCCAGCACAGAGCCATGCCACCAAAAATAAATTACTGCAAATGGGAAAATCAATCATCTTCTGACTATAGTGGTCCTGACCGAAATGTTTCTTTTTTTCATGATTTATAACAGGAAGTGATCCCTGGGGTTATGAAGTGGAAAAATTTGGATTCTATCACCTTGAAAAGTCTTTCAAACCAGCCCGCTCTCATCAGTGACTGTGCTCCACGCAGGTTGGTCAGAAATATTTTGTCCTCTTTGCTTTCCAACGTGAGCTGTGTGTTGAGAAGAGTTCAATCTGGCCGCTGACACGAGTGAATCAAAACCTGCAGCTGAACTTTTCCACTACATCACTGTTTATGAGATTTGTCGGGTCACATTTTCTTCTTATCTGCTAAACTAGGCGGCAAAAAATGACTTCATACCAAGAGCAGATACCCAAAAGTTAAAGAGAAGGTTCTCATGTTCTCAATAAGAGTGTCCAACTAGAACAGTGTCGGTTCATAAGTTTGTTTATGGTCCTTGTTTACAGAGGACAGAGACAGAGAAAGTGGCTCTTGTCCATTTCCTATGTGAAAGAATTTGAACTTTTGACCCTCTCGCTGCCAGACCACTTGAAAGACAGCGTTTTCACAAACTACATCAATATATAAAAAAAGACAAGTTACATAAGCTACAGACTCATATTGGTAGTTAATAGTTACCTTCTCGGATATTATCCTCTTTCTGCAGTTTGGGACTCACTCTATCATCTCAGTATTCCAGAAACACGACTTCTCACTATCTTCCAAAATAAATATGTCATGTCACATCCACACAGCTTCCAGCTCCTGCCAGGATGCAGGATGTCAAACTCTCCACTTGTAATCAAGATAACGGAGTTCCTTTTACACGCAAAGAGTTGGAGAAAATGGTTGTACAGTATGTAGGACTTGAAGCACTTCTGATTTTGGAGTTAAAATGCTGGGCACCATTTCCAGCTTTGTAAAACAAAGTGCTGTTATTTTAAAACTGTCCATTTAACCAGATAGTTGAGAATAGTGTTTTGATCAAATTAGAGGTTCTAAACGCTGGTGGGGAGAAAAGCCCCACTCAAATCTTCTTTTTCACTTAGCTCTAGTGTAAATAGCCAGACTTAGGGGTTTTTACAGCTGCGATTATCCATTATTTTTACTTATTTTGAGGTAAAATCTGAGTGTCTATCTGTAAAGATAGAAAGCTTCTTCTGATTCTAAATGTTTTCTCCTTTGCTATGTATATCTGTGTGCGCGTGGAATCTAGGTCATACAGTATGGAGGCTTCCCTCACGCTGCAAAATAATGATTTATTCAATCCTCAGTCTAAATGGGCAGTGAATAAATGATGATATTTTTCATGTAGTGTATTAGTGAACACAGCATTGGGCTGTCCTGTTCTATTTGTGGTGGGCTGTGTGCTTCTGTCTGCGCCCTGTCATAACTGATACCAATCAGGTGTGCAAAACACTCTGTGTGTCTGACCTTTCTCAAGCCTATACCGCCATGTGCATTGTAATTTGTCTAGCATGATAGAGTTTCTTGTTTAAAACCAATTTAAGTACCAAAGTGAACATTGGAAAGCTAATGAAGCAGCACTCCTCAAGAGATCCGAAGTCATCTCAAGTCTTTGTTTGACAAGATGCCTGCATAATCTGGGCAACCACAGTTCATGTGGTGCATTTGGGAATGTGTGGGTTTGAATCTCTGCTGCAACTCTGTCTTTTTACCTTTCTGCCTGCTTTCCTTTTTTTCCTCACCTGCCTTGTGCTGCGCAATCAGAGCCAAGGGAAAATATTAGCTTCATACTTGTCAGTACTGCCCTACCTGATAAGTGTAGATATATAATTCTTTATTCGTGTAACAGAAAGCTTTATGTCAGCATTCCTGTCAGTCTTTCCTATCACTGGCTACAGCCACAGAGTCTGCAGGTAGCTTGTGAGTGGCCACAATAACTGGTGAGAGCAAAGTTGACAGAGCCATGAGTTGTAACATGATTTTAAATTATCAAAAGGACAGTGGTGTGGGTACAGAGCTTTTTAAGAACCGAAACCAATAATGCATGAGAGTAACTACCTCTTACAAAGTGTAGTATTAAGTATTTACACAGAGTAAGTGCCAGGTTAACACACATTACAGTTAGCTAATTATCCTACGCTCGCTAATGTTAATATATGTAACATGAACAGTAATAGGAACACAAAAAATGCAGATACAGTCCACAACTACTGGGTGTAAATATGTAGTACTAATCATATATTTATATGCATTTAGTACTAGATGTAACACATTTTACATCTAGCTAAAAAGGCTATCTAACTAGCCTTGGTTTGCTAATCTTTAACCAAAATCTTATTTCACAAAAACATAAATGCAACCCAGGCCAGGTAATAGAGTCTTTATTTGTACATCCTTCGCCCCATCATTACAAAGTTGCTCTTTAATATTTTTAAGGAATCCCTGGTTATTCTGTGGTATCACTGACATTTGGCTTATCAGTGTTCTTTTTTTGCCCCTAAGTGGTTTCAGCTTTCACTAAGGAGCACCTTTATCAAACATGTTTGAACTGAGATATGAAACCACCTTAAGCACTCCTTTCATCTCAGTGAGACTGAGGAGCTATCTGAAAATGATCTCAATTCATCTGATGCATGGTGGTCCAGCTCTTCAGGGGAAAAAGCGCTGTATGTGTGTGTTTCCTGTATAGACCTGTCAACTACAACACAGAGATACTTCCACTCACCGCAGCTTCTCCTCTCGCCAACCTCCCTGATGATGATGTGGCCCCGCTAATGGACACACTGTAAGTAGATGAGGCACTATATTGATCTTTGTGCTGGGAGCTTCTTTTTTTTATGGGTCTCATGGGAAAGTGCTCCTTTGATTATTTCACTGTGTGTGTGTAACCTCATGCAGGTGTGAATGCTCAGGAGTCCAACTGACACCCGAGATGATCAGAGCAGAATTCTTGTGTGGAGAAGTTCTCGTCTCCATTAGCAACCTCGATGCAGGAAAGACAACCGTGTAAGTGTAGCGATCGTGAGCATGCAGCAAAGCTAAAAGATTACTCATACATACAGTCTGGAAGAGTTTCAAGAGATAGTTTATGGCATGATGAATGGATGTTTACATGAAGGAAGCCCCTCACAAGCAATAAAAGGGATGAATGCTCCTTTTCACACACATAGATATTTTGGAAAAGACAAAACACATGTTTAGTTTGAAGAGGGGAAGTTGTCAGGATATACCAACCATTAAGTTAATGGATTGAATCAGTTCGTGTACCTAAAGTTTGTTCCAGCAAAAGCTTCCTGGGAGCTGGGAGTTTTTTTTAAGTGTTGTCATAGCAATGAAACTGACCTTTAATCTATTCAGCTTATAATCACATTAGATGTAATATATTGTAGCAAATATGTTCTTACATCACTGGTCTATGCTGATAGCGCCATTTCTCAAAATTGAATTTAGAGGCTAAAAAATATTTGTTTAGGTTTTCAGGATTTTATGAAAAACATATTAATGAGGTAATAATGATACTGTTAATACTACTGAGTAGGGCCCAACTAATATAGGAATAGGATTAGCCCAGTAGCGATACTGATATTTGATGATCTGAAAATAGCAAATATAAACAAAAGCCAACCTACTAGTGAACAGCTTTTTTTTTATCATACAATTAAAATGAATAGTAATGCTTGAGTTGTTTAAACATTACAATATTAAACATTTTAACACCTGTAGATGGACTTTTAAAAAAATCCTATTTTGGAAACTTATTAGCGTGTGCTAGAAACCGTATGGGTTTTCTTTTTTGGGTTTCACTAGTTGTAAAAGAAATTTAACAATTTGCTCAGTACCATTTGCCTCAGTCTTATAATGGATTTATTCGTGCTATCTCTCCTTTTGTAAATCTTTTTACAGATTTACTCAGTGCAAAATTGACGTGATATAATTGCTAACTACTCACATTTGAAAAGTTGATATGGTTTTGTTTTTTAAGCTTTAATTTAGTTTTTATCATTTCTTATCATTTTGAAGGTTTTTTTCTAAATTGTCGTTGAGAAATTAGGAACGATACGTGTTGTACTCGCTACTACAGCTGCTCTTCTTCCATCTGTAAAGTTAAATTGTTCTGTCCCAGGCACCAGAGGCAGCATCACATTGAGGCGACCTACAGGTCTGAGTTTAACCAGATGGGAAAAAGAGTGATGACTAGACTGAAGCAACTTGGAGTCACTGACAGAACTTCTCATTTACCTGAAGAAGACCGTGAAAAGCCGTAGCCTGTGCACACACATCCTATACACTCACATGAGTAAACACCACTGCAAGACTACAGATAAGCATTATACCCATCCTACTCACTCATACAACACACTCCTTTGTTGGCCCTGACATGTCTTTGAAATAAAACCTGGTTACTTTCCCACCCACTCATAAGCCTCCTTTCTACCCACTCAAAATTACCAGTGAGCTCCCCTACTGTGCTTTTACAAAGCCTGAAAATTTGTTATCCCTCCACCTACTCAGATTCATATATAAGCATGGCTGCATTTTACACACCATTACCTACATTAAATGAAATATGATCGTTCTGCATTTTATATTTTAATTCTTTCGTAAAAGTTTATTACAATTAAATCTTCTTATGTTATCCAGCAACATATAATGCTTGATGTTTGACCACTGACTCTGACTCTGTGTATTTTCCATGTTCCTGCTGTAACATGACATTTAGATTCAGCATGCACTGATTAGAGTCAGCTATTTGTCTGATGTGTAGCTACCTGAAGAAGAGATATTATTTCTGTATTTATTAGGAACATCAGTTCAACATTTATATTTTTGTGGCTCTTAAAGAATAGATGCTTAGGTCAGTAATTAGTTACCAAAACAGCTGACTGGCTGTGAACTCACTGGGTTGGAGTCCAGTTCATACGTGTTCTCCGACCCCTAGAGGGAGCTCCAACTCTATGAGTGTTATAAGGGTCTCCACATTTATTTGTCCTTCAGTGAGTATGCTCGCTTGTAATGACTCTGCTGTAGAGAAATACAGTAGAAGTGCAGTATATGAACTTGTTTTACAGACATGCAAAAAAAAGGGTCAGATTTTTTTGACATGGGGTTGGGTGCAGTGTACTAAAGCCCTTAGCCATGATCCTTCACTGTCAGAATGCATTGAGGTGACAGTGAAGCGTGGTCCTGATTTCGCCTCAGCTTAAAAAGGAGAATTCCACTCAGAGATTAAGTGAATTATTATCACTCGTGTTATTATAGTCCTATTTCACTCTATAGCTTAAACCGAGATATGAGCAGTCTGCCTCAAAAGAAGCCTATAGCCACAGATTAAATGCATGTCATTGCTGTCTCAAATGAAATACGTAATAGACAGCATAATAATAATAACAGGCATCATGATGTGTGTGTCTGCGAGTAGGAAATAAGGAGTTGCAGTACACCAACATATTACAGTTTGTATCAATCTTTCACCCAGCAGTCTGCATCTACCAATTCCACAGAAAACACATCTACCACGGCGCCTTTTATGGCTCACGCTACACTAAAGCTTTCACCCCGTGAATACAGGTGCTTTTATTCGTGTCTCCATTCCAATTGAAAAATAGGACAAAACACTCAAAGACTCAACAGTGAAAACGGGAACTCTTTAGCTTCAGCAAGCTCAATTTGTGCAGCACCCCGTGGTAAGAAAACAGCTTCACCCCACTGACACGCTGGTCACGATGACCCGATCATCCCCTCCAATCTCCCAAAGAGGACAGAATCAAAGCAAGAGGTCCTTTCGGGGGTAGAATCTCCCTCTCTCTGTAACTCCATCAATCACAGTTTACAACCTGCAGCAACAGCCTTGTTCTCTGGTTTCTAGAACATTCCCCTTCATTTGTGCATACTTGTAGCTGCTCTTGTTCTTGTGGAGGCTTTTCACCTGACACGTTTCACTGAGTGATTTGCCAACACTTAGGTGAGAAATTGTGCTGGGTTTTTGCCTCAGAGTAGTGGCTCCTCAGAGATACAACATTCTCCCTCAAATTCTTTGACAGGGCAACCCCAGCAGCTTCTGTGAAAAGCTGAACAGTCCTAGTGTGTTGCTTGGAATGTCTTCGAGGACCTGAGCTGTGCAATATTTATTTTACCTCATACTGTAGTGTGCAAAAGAATCTCGAGTCACACCTCATTTCTTTGTATTTTTCTTGGAAAAGACGACATGGGTCGTTTATTGAAATGTGTGCAAACTCACGGAAGTACAGTCTTCTTCTTTCAGCTGCTCTCACAGCAGGTAAGGGCCTCCATCTTCCTCCTTTACTACATCCATGAACCTCCACCAAGAGCCTCCTCTTTCCCTCCTGCCTGGAAGCTCCATATTCAACATCCTTTGTTCAGTGTATTCACTATCCCACATGCCCAAGCCATCTCAGCCTTGCCTTCCTAACTTTGTTTTAACCACCCAACATGAACTGTCCTGATTTCTAATCTAGTCCAACCTGGTCAAATCTCCACACACGCAAAAATAGTTTGTACAAGTCTGGTATGACCATCTTTATTCTATTTGTTATTATTTATTCTAACACAGCCTAAACTCAGATAGGCAAGCTTTCTTGGAATTTCTTTAAGTAGCTGAAAGGCATTCAAAGCTTTTCTTTGGATGTTTCTGCTTTTTGTTCTGTTCTCTGTCATGATGATGACACACTGCTTCAACAGTGTTGACGTTGGGGTCTGGGGAGGCCAGTCCATGACTCATAGTCTTCCATTGTGTGTTTTTCTATCCAGCTATGCTTTTACTGCACTGGCAATGTATTTGCATCATTATCATGCTGAAAAATGACATCATTATCAAGCACTTTCCAGATGGTATTGTATGCTGGGTCCTTTGTTGCAATCATAATTCCATCAGTTTTGCCAAGAACATCATTGGCTGAAACGCAGCCCCAAACCACGACAGAGCCTCCACTGTGTTTTTGCAGCACTCACTGTTGTACTGCTTACATGAACACTCATACATACTAATGATGACCTGAACCAAACATTTGTCATTTTTCTTATATTTAGTTAAATCTCTCCCTTAAGATTGGATTCTTGACAGCCACCCTTCCGCTGAGACTACTTCTGAGACTTCAGTGAGTAGTGCATCTCTCGTGTCCTATGTCAGGTCCACCATTTGTCCAATATCCTCAAAATCCAAAAACACCATGCTGAGATATGGCAAGTTTTTAGTCAATACTTCTTTGAGGGTACTTTTTTATGCCTGTCAAACTGAGTTATCTTTGGACTTTTTTCAGATTAAAAAGAAAGGGAACTGGGTGCCGTTTCCCCCTCTGGGGGCGAGGGTACCTGGACCCGGGGTATA